GCTGTTCTTTTGAACTCTTTATTCATCGAAGAATCCTGAAAAGAAGTATCACAGGTTTCCAACATTGATTATAATCAGCATATAGAATGATTTCTGAAGGATCATGTGACACTGACGACTGGAGTAATGATGCTGAAAATTAAGCTTTACCATCACAGGAATAAATTATATTTCAAAGTATATTAATATAGAAAACTGTTATTTTAAATTGTAATAATATTCCACAGTATAACTCTTTTTTTTCTCTGTTATTTTTTAATCAAATGAATGCAGCCTTGATGAGCAAAAGAGACTTAAAATCTTACTGATCCCAAACTTTTGAACAGCAGTGTACATGTTTTCTCTTCTTGTTTTGTGTGCAGGCATTTAGATTTTAACCTTGACAAGACAGTGTTTCTCTTCATTGCTGGACGCTATGAATTCTCAAATAAAGGAGCTGATATCTTTCTTGAAGCATTGGCCAGACTTAATTACCTGCTGAGGGTCAGTATTTGCATTTTAGGATGTATGTGCATTTGAGAAGTCACAATACGAACACAAAATGTTATAAAGATGAAGAATCTTTTTTTAGAAAAGGTTTAAATTTGATGTTGATTTGAAACAAAATTCTTGTACGTCCAGGTGAATCACAGTGATGTGACCATAATAGCATTCTTCATCATGCCTGCTCGTACCAACAACTTCAACGTGGAGACCCTGAAGGGCCAAGCCGTACGGAAACAGCTCTGGTAACCATGACAACTGCACTGTGAGGACTGCTAACCAGAACGACACCGTTTAGCTCAGACTACTCGCTTAATATAAACAACAATCAAGTTGTGTTGAAAGCACATTTATTTTAGAATTATTTATGTACTCTTATAGTATTTATTAATATTTTGAATTAGCTCTTATTATTTATTTTATTATTAGTTTTAGTAATTTTATGATGTGCTTTTGACATTTATATTAGTTTGTTTTTAAAATATTATTTATTTAAAGTTTTTTTTAAATTCAGTTTTAGTAATTTTAGTATTTCAGCTTTAACTTATTTTTTTTGTCAACTTATTTTCAGTTAGTTGCCAGGTTTTTAACTTTAAGCGTCTCATCTAATAAATATTTTCAGCTTTTAAAAAAAAAAAAGTTTTTGATCATTTTAGTTTTAGGTTTACTTAACAATGACAACACTGGCCTAGAGCATCCTAACACAACTACCTGTTTTCTTTTGCCATTCTGCAGTGAAAGATGGATGTGTGATGATGTAGGAAGGAATTTATTTGTTTGTTTGTTCATTCATTCATTTTTATTTATTTATATGTTTAATAAACAGTAGTCATAATGTCACCTGATTGAAAAGAGTAGTTAAAATGATTAAAACTAAATGTTTTATTTACTCACACTCATATTCAAAAACCCATAGACAATTTTTTCCCAAATTTTTGCTTGGACTCAGGGACTGTTGAAGCAGTGAATGAATGTTGTTGTGACATTGCATCTTTGTTGTATTGTCAGGGACACTGCTCAGACTGTGAAGGAGCACTTTGGGAAGAAACTCTACGAATCACTTTTAGTGTGAGTTGGTTTTTGTGTTTCAGCTGTATTATGTCATCTATTCTGAGGCGTGACATTGCTCTCTTTCTCGTTGTCAGAGGGCAGCTGCCTGATGTGTCTAAGATGTTAGATAAAGAGGACTTCACCATGATGAAACGTGCCATCTTCGCCACCCAGCGCCAGTGCCTGCCCCCCGTCTGCTCTCACAACATGCTGGAGGACAGCAGTGACCCCATCCTCAACTGCATCCGCCGTATCGGCCTCTTTAATACTGCTCAGGACAGAGTCAAGGTATACACACACACACAAACACTATACTATAATGGATGTATTCAACGGTAATTTGTTATGTAAAAAAATACTTAATACACCTTTAATGCCTCATATTCTTCTGCTAGGTGATCTTCCATCCAGAGTTTCTCTCCTCCACTTCTCCTCTCCTGCCGATGGACTATGAGGAGTTTGTGAGAGGCTGCCATCTTGGAGTATTTCCATCCTACTATGAGCCCTGGGGATACACACCAGGTAAAACTACACATACTATGTATATGTGTGTGTGTGTATATATATGTGTGTTTATGTATATATGTACATACATGCTCCATGGTGTATATATACCATTTAAAAGTTTGGTCAGTAACATGGTAACATTGTTTTAGTATATAAACAAGATATTATATATCTTGTTATAGTTACAAGAAATATTTTTTTTCAGAATTCATACATTATATTTATCAAAGTGAGCGTAAATACGTCACTTTTTTTATAGTTTTGACATTGAGAATAAGAAATGTTTCTTGAGCACCAAATCAGCATGTTAGAATAATTTCTGAATGATCATTTGATATTTTAAAAACATATTATTTCACAGTATTACTGGTAAATAAATGCAGCCTTGGTGAGCATAAAGAGACTTCTTTCAAAAACCTGAAACAGACTTACTGACCCCAAACTTTTGAATGGTAGTTTGTGAACTCTGTATTAATATCATCCACTCAACACAATGCACACATCTTTTTTTTAGCTGAGTGTACAGTGATGGGTATCCCATCGATCTCCACTAACCTGTCTGGGTTTGGCTGTTTCATGGAGGAGCACATTGCTGACCCGTCAGCTTATGGTGAGAGTTGTACATATACAATGGAACTAATGAACAGCAGCTACAAGATTTTCTCAATTTTGTTTGAATCAGCTTTATTTAGTTTCATTGTGTAATGTACATTTTTCTTAACTCCTCCTTTTCAGGTATCTATATTCTGGATCGGCGGTACTGTGGGGTGGATGAGTCCTGCAATCAGCTGACGTCTTTCCTGTTTCAGTTCTGTCAGCAGAGCCGCAGGCAGAGGATCATTCAGAGGAACCGAACAGAGCGCCTCAGTGACCTGCTAGATTGGAGATATTTGGGCAGGGTCAGATACTACACACACACACACACACACACACAAAACACAGTGAATTGCTTTTCTGACCACGAAGGACCCATGTTGTGTCCACTTTCTGTATCAAAACAACAAAACTAACAGGTTATTGAGGTTATTGTTCATGAACTAATATAGCATATTTCTGTTTCTTAGTATTACGTATCTGCCCGCCATATGGCTTTAGCGAAAGCTTTCCCGGACACATTCATCTATGAGCCTCAAGAACCCACTTCGGTAAGTTAAAATGATGAAGGGTGAAATTGAAATTGTTTGTCCATTTTATTTTAATAAAAGTGTGAAGTTGAATTATCTAGACCAGTGATTCTCAACCAGAGATTCAGCATGACTTAAAAATAATTTAAAATAAGACGACAACAACCATTACCATAAGCTAAAATAGCTACAAGTCAAGATTTTTTTGTTTTAGTTCACCTCCTCAATGTATTTTTCCTTTGAAAACCCTGGATATGAGATTTTATAAATGTGATATCTAATCACATTTAAATTATTAAAGTCTTATTTCCATGCTAATTTTAATGTTTAAGGAATTTATATTTACTTATGCCAAGCTGTAAAAAAAAAAAACAGTCAAAAAAGGGGAACCTCTGACAGCTCTGGACAGCTGTCTAAAAACTGGATGTAAATATTTGTTGACCTATATTCTTTCATTTACATAATTCAGGCCACAGGCTTCCGTTACCCGCGGCCCGCCTCTGTGCCCCCGTCTCCCGCCCACTCGCTTCACTCATCTCCTCATCACAGTGAGGCTGAGGATGAAGAGGAACCATATGATGAAGATCTGGAGGCGGAGAAAGACCGGGTCAACATCCGCCAACCTTTCAACATGCCGAACCGGAACAAGAATCAGACAGTTAGTCTTCCTGAGAAAAATTAAAACACACCCCTACATGCATACCTACACACTCTGTAGTTTATACTGTGAGGCACTTATATACACTGTGACACACACACACACACACACACACACACACACATAACACTCCCCTAAAAGTGAAAGTAAAGCCTGCAAACAGTATGTCTGCATGTTGGTTTTCTGAAAAGAAATAAATAAGATATTTAATTATTTGGTGAGCCATAGTATGTGATTTTAAGACTTTCTGTTGAAAGATTTCTCTGGTGTCTTTCATACAAAGCTTAGTAAAAAAAAAACAAAAAAACAACAACAACGGATTAAATAGTAGCTAGAGTTATTCATACTTGTCATCTAGCTGTGTGCCGCTGACTTTCAAATGGCCACTGTTAAAAGACAATACAAATAAATGTGAAATGATAAAAATAAACGTTACAAAAATTTTTAAAGAGACCTTTATTAGGAATGGTTTAAGAAAAAAACATTATTTATACACTCTTTAAAAGAGCTGTACGACTTTGTTCTTCCATGGAACACAAAAGAAGAGGTTTTGAAGAATGTTCATGTTATATATTTCTATATACAAAATTAACACAGAGGGTGATCAGGGCCAAAAAATTATAATACGAATATCATACAAATAGTCCTTAAAACTCGCACTTTAGGTCTTCTGAAGTCCTACAGTATCTTTATATGAAGGACCGACCCAAATTTAAGCTGTTTACTTTAAATCATGGTTTGACAGTCCTAGTAATTATTCACTTTCACTGTGCTAATTTCAAAGAGCTAAACTTTTCCTTGTGTGTTTCACGAAAGCAAGAAATGTATACATCTTTTAAAAGACTTTAGATTGCATAAATGTACTGTATTCTGAAAACATTCTTACAGTGCTTTACTCACTGCCAGATTTCCCTTCACAGTATTATGTACTGTCACGAACATAGTGACTATCCAGCAGTTTTCTAGGGTTATTTTAAAAAAATGGTTTCAGTTAAATGACAAGCAATTGATGTAGCTAAAGCTAACCAGCCAAACGAATACACTGGAACATCATTGGTACTGTAATACAAATATACACCAGCACTGTTAGAGTTTGTCATGTCTATCACAGCTGTAAAACTGAAATTAAAGTCTACAACATTATTACCATTACACTTGTTTTATTAATTCATCATGTGCCACATCGTGTGTTTTTCTTCGGTTAATTTGTACACTTTCTGCAGCAATCCACTGTTATCAACACAGATATACCCTCCCTCCATGACCCTTGCAGACTGAAAAAAGACAAACAGAAATTCAAATGACACAGAGAGATATGTAACCACATATTTGTGTACCATTTTGGACTTTCTGTTAAATTTTAGCAGAACAGAAAGCAAAGAGGATAGTTCCAAAAGATGTCTTTTTATGCCTGCGTTCTCTGTGTAAATCCAGATTTGGTTAAATATGTTCAGTGCATACTGGGGTTTTAGGCAATGCACTGCATCGGTTTACTCCATCTGTCTTTCTTATACATACCCAGTAAGCTGCTCCAGAAGGAATTGTATGTGGCATTTCCTGTTACAGCTCCCAGTTTGGCGGGGTTTTGTCTCACTGTTTTCACTGTGAACCCATCTGGACCAGTTACTTCAACCTCCACAATATGGTAGTCTGATAATCTGGAGTGAAGGGGAAAGAGAGATTCCAGTAACACTCGCGTTACAAATCCTATAGCTCATACTAATGGTTAGTCGTACTAATGGTACATTTTCTTTACTTGAGCCACCTAGCAGCATGATAAAAGTAATTCTGAATCCTATAGATATTACAGGACATAGCAACGCCCAAGCACCACCCAAAAACTGTGGCAAGTGCCTCTACCATTCATATTGGAAAGCTGGTTTTGATCTAGTTTCCACAATGAAACCGAAGTAGAGACATATCTTTTCTTCTGTATTGTGACACATCTGAGTGAAACAGATTATCAAAAAATAGAAATGATAGGGCGGGGACTATCAGATGGTTGTTGATCAGATGAAGGCAGATCTGAATGCGAGTCTGCAGTCGATTGTAAGAAGGGAGCGGAGTTTAAATGATTGGAGAAGTCTGGCATTTCACCAGAAGGTCCATATTTTGATTAAGAATTACAAGCTCGAATAAAAAAGAAAAATAGAAACATGCATGACTGAGTCATTTACAGTGAGATCAATATGTTTTAATTTCATGCCAACTTTAAAAGTGGCCTGGTCTATGTATGGAGGCAGTTTTCTGTGTAACGGAAAGGTTTTGAGTGTTAATGTCAGATTTTTGAGGTCCAGTTTGCAACTCACGTAGTGTCTGAGACGATTTCTCCGGTAACCCCATTGAAGCCCAGCTTTGATGCGGCTATGGCCGCAGCTGCCATAGTGTTCACATTATTTGGGGCGATGGGGCAGAGCTCTGCTACTGAGCCGTGGTACAAGACCCGCCTCCCCTCTCCCTCCCTCCAATCAGAGAGCAGACCACCAGTCAGCCGAAAGCAAGAGGGATGTTTAGACATTCGGATGGAGAGAGCCTATAAGAGAGACATTTGAAATTTACTTTCATATATTTTCATGTGGCAGGGACAATGAAACTTATGTTGAACTTTAGTTTTGGATAATATTTAGTATTTTTATTTAGGCAGACCACCTCTTGGAGATAAATGTTTTTTTATGGACAGTTAGATTTAATTTTGAACAGTGCTTGAATTCCTTGTATTAAAAAAAATAATTATAAGAAAATAGTATTACCCGTAAAGTTCCACTGTCATTCATTTTTTGAATATCTTGGCCACCCCATAATGCACCACTGGGCACATAAAGTGTTTTCCCATGTTGTTTTGCAGCAGTGCAAAGATCTTGCTCAAGCTGGGGGTCAGAAAGGGCAGAAGGGCTGCCCACCTGAGGAAGGGAAAACATGATTAGAGACAGTTTTAACAATTACTTGGGCAGTACAGCTAATTATCATTATGAAATAAATGTAAATACTATGACAGACAGGATTTCAGGTGAAAATATAAAGGATAGACTTAAGTTACCAGGAAGTGAGCATGTGACAGAAATCTGACGCCAAACTCTTTAACTATCATTGGATGGCACACCTCCACTATTACATCGGTGTCTCTGAAACACCAAACACACATAAAACACCTGTAAAGTGCCACAGTAACATGCTCTGTTTTGCAGTCTCTTAAACAAATATTCAACAAGCGTATATAAACTTTATATATACAAATACAAATTTACCTGCGTGTGAAATCTGAGAGGTCATGTAGAATCAGCTCTTTGGGCAGTGAATCTCTAAGTTTGTCTGCATTTCGGTTCCAAACAAATGCTAACTGCAGTCCTGCCTCAGGCCCTTCCTTTTGGATCTTCTCAACAAGAAACTGGCCTGAAAAAGGAGAAAAGATTAAATACACATGTTCTGACAGAATATGAACTGATACTGAACATAAGAGTGATTACAGCTCTACAGCAACATTAGATTTTAAGTGCAAATTTAATCAAAGTAGAGAAAGTTGTGGCTCTTGAAACAGAAGTTTTCATTGGAGAACTCACCTAAATGTCCATATCCCACAATTCCAACCTTTAAAGCTCTATCAGTCATATCTACAAAGTGAGATAAGGGATTCAGCAGATGAACCATGAAATCATTTTTCTTATTGGTTGGTCTGCTAAAGTAGTTCAAGAGAGCTTATTATTATTCACATCTACACAATAACAAATGTAATTCTGTAAACTCTAGAACATCAAACCAGCATGCACTAGATTTATTCCCCCACACATGCTCTTGATTCAATCTTTGGCTCCTCCCCTTTTTCATTTTCTCCACCTTCCTTTATCTCTAACACACTGATCTCACCGACACAATTTGTCCTCACAACCTTCACTTACCTGCTAATTCCTCACCTTTTCTCTATTTATCACTCTCTCTTTCTTTTCGATGTCCGTCGATCTCTCTCTTCGCTGTTTGAACTTGAGAGACTGTGGAATAGAGCAGGTTAAAGTGCATGTGGGCCAGGATTGTTAATGATTAGACTCTGTGTGAATCCATTGGCTTTGGATATTTTAAAGGAGCACTGTAGTATTATTCATGATGGAAAAGGTGATCTTGAAACAGGATATTTTAGTTTTAGTTATTTTAGTGTCTTTGAGATATTATTACGTTTTATTATTAGTTTGATTCATTTAAATTTTTATATTCTGCATTATCATTTTATTTTATTTTTGTTAAAGGCTTAGTACATTTTTTTCATTTGTAAAATTATTTTTATTTTTTAAAAATATGTCTATTGTTTTTATTTTAATGTTAGTTTTAGTTATTTTAGTGCATCAAGTTTTTAAAATATTTTAATTTATTTTTTCGTTTACATTAGGCTATTTCAAGTAACAAAAATCTACATACACGTCTCAAATCACACTTATTAACAAATGTTATATTATACTTTAAATGAGAAAAGTATGACAATAATTCCCCCTTTTTATATCATAACACTTTAGCTCTGTGGCGCCCTCAAGGGGGTAAAAGTGGGGGAAATGGCAATATCTCCAGAATTGCAACAGATTTTACAACCATGCTGTTAAAACCACTAACAACTGAGAAGCTAATGATCAATAAGAACTAGAACGAATAAGTAGTACAGTAATTATTAGAATAATTACAAGATATAAATACATATTATATTTATAAAAATTATATGTGTTGTCTATCCTTACTGACACCTACACGTACATCAAAAAAGCCAATAAAGTGAATAAGCTGAAACAAGCTGAAAAGACATAAAACAGACTGGGAAAGATACTTTTCTAGCATTAATTAAAAAAAAAAGTTTATCTCTCTGAACTTGTGTCTCAATCATCAAACCTTTGCTCTTGGCGATGATGTCACTACAGGGTAACAGGCCATAATGCAGAGAGAAACATAGACGGAGAGAGAGAGACGGGCACAGAAACAGGGAGAGAGAGTGAGGGGTGTACGTTGTTTATGACAGAACAATCTGACAGATAACACATCACTCATAATGGTCCAAAGTCCAGACCTACCCCAGCCAATGAAACACCCTGGCATACATAGTTGACAAGAGGCATTACAGATCTCCTAGCTGTGGAATAGGTGGCCCACATCTGAGAAGGCTGCGTGTGTGACTGTTTAGGCCAGAAGACAGAGATGGACATCCTGGAAACGAGTGCTTATGACCGCATACAACGCAGGAATACGGTAATCACAGCAAACACACACACACACCTGCGCACAAATACAGACACCTGTGTTCTGCTCTTGTGGGCCTATTTGTGCACTTCTATCACATCCAGTTTACTCATTTAGATCCGCATTTAGTCACAAAATCATTTTTCTAACTTAGAATCACACTCGTATCCTGCGTGATTTTCTTTTATAATAAAGATATTTGCATTTAATGTTTAATTAAAGTGTTGTAATACTGATCGAATTCTGTTTAGAGCACAGTAAGTGCAGACTGTGTATTTTTTAAAATAAAAATCATACCTGTATTGTTTTCATTCTTTTCTCCATCACTTGTTTTCCAGACCTGTGTGCTGTTTCTTTATCTCCTCCCTTTTTTTGCATCCTGTACGATATACTTCTACTTGTGGATCCCAGACTCCGCCCCCTCTCTTCTGGCCGCTGGCATTAAGGCCGCTCCCATCCTCTGTCTGGTCCTTCTGGTGCTCAGCTATAATGGAGGGCGGGGTCTAGTGGGCGTGGCTGGAGGGTTGCTGCTCTCAGCGGGCGGAGACTGTTGCCTTATTTGGCCAGAACTTTTTATCCATGGTAAAGGTTATTTCTTCCTGTCCCATACCTTTATTTAAGACTATCGGGGTTACTATCCAGGTCATATTTCACTATAAAGTCAAGAGGGGAACAAACTTTTCTTACTTTTCACACTTTTTCATACTATTTTAAGACCATAAGGCACAATAATATTATTATTATTATTATTATTTAAATTGTGAAGTATTTGTGTATCACATTGTTGATTTTTTTCTGTTTTTGTTTTAAACCTGTGCGTGTACAGTATTACAGTAATAAGAATAAAATGAGGATCACCTTTGAGAATAATGGAATTTTCAAAAAAAGTTAATTTATTATTATTATTATTTAAATTGTGAAGTATTTGTGTATCACATTGTTGATTTTTTTCTGTTTTTGTTTTAAGCCTGTGCGTGTACAGTATTACAGTAATAAGAATAAAATGAGGATCACCTTTGAGAATAATGGAATTTTCAAAAAAAGTTAATAAAAAATTATATTAATTTATATTCACATTTGTTATTATATTTTCATTTTGGTTTACTTTACATTTTATTTCCATTTTAATATACACTTATAACAACTGATTACATATTATTAATTACTTTTTTCATTTAAATTTTATTTTTGATAATTTTTTTGTTGTGTTTTTGTCATCGAGTTTTTTATGGTTGTAGTTTTAGTTAAATATAATAGCTCTGCATCACAGTCTTATCTCTGTCTTTTTTTTTTATTTTTAGGAATGGGCTGTTTTGCTCTGGCCCACTTGCTTTACTCTATTTCCTTCCTGTCCTCTCGATATTCTGCAACATCTTCGTCTGTCTCATTCTTTATCCTCTACCTCATCCTGTGGTTGTTCGGCATTGGAATGTATGCTTACCTGGTGCCCTTCCTACGGCTTGAACCAGAAGCTGACCTTCTCGTCCCAGCCATAGGGGGTTACATACTGGTCATTGTTATCATGGCCACACTGGCTGCTCGTACACGGCGGCCGCTCATCCTGCTGGGCAGCCTGGTCTTCATGGCTTCTGACCTCACGATTGCACTGACAAAGTTCAATGTCTTTGATGTAGAATACAAAAAGCACATTATTATGACAACATACTACCTGGCACAGCTGATGATTGCGCTGGGTGACGTGAAGGCAGTGCTGGAGGAGGATGCTGATGATATCCACAAGAGGAAGAGATCATAAGACTGCTGTTAATGACTGATGGTGGTTCAGTGAAAGGTTAATCGCTGTATAAAATGGTTACAGGACATGCTTACTGTACATCCCTAAATATAAGAAATATTATACAGTCTGACCTATCAACTAAGACTTTTGTCTAGCTTCCCTACAGCAGATGAACTTGGCCTAACAGACTCTGTGCTGAACTGAACTGATTTGATTACATTTGAAACAACTGTATGTAGTTTTGCCTATCTTTGCGACTTTGGAGCCCCCAACAGTTAAGTGAATGGAATCCACTGTCGTAAATACCACTGTCGTTGTTGCTGCCGTAAAGCAATCCGCCTTTTCGCGGAATTTCGTACCCGCTCAACAAAGAATTAGGCCCTACATGTTCCCAGAACAGACATTTTGGGGCTAGTGTGAGAAAGAAACAGAATTCCTTTGACTTATTAGAAGTCAGTGTACCTTCAGAATGATTTTGAAACCGGTATTTCAAGACAATCTTACATACAGTTGCTAAAGGTATTAAATATTTGTTATCCAACACAAATATTTATGCTCAGATGCTCCACGAACCTTTGCTAGTTTCTAGAGCAGAGATGAGTGTCCAAATTGTGCAGAAATAAAGCACATGAAGTCATAGTGTTACAGATTTGTTTATTGACTGATTCATGGTACTTTCGTGGCATAGTTGCAGGCTAAAGAAAAATGTCAAAATGTAATTCTGTTGACTTTATGTAATGAATATATTATAGTATAGGCTAAAACATCATGAAATGTTGTGTTTTTGTGGCATGCAATCCCAAAAGCCAGAGATCACTTTTAAATAAAATAAAAGCATAGCGAGAAATTCTCAACTTTGTGTGTTTTTATAATCAGTTATTACCATTTGGTGATACATTTTTATAATAGAATTTGTAAATTAACAACCAAGTGAAAATATTTTATTAGTTTGTGGAAAAATAGCTTAATGTTTTGGATCTTAATAGACTAAATTATTATGAAAATTAAATTAATAATGTTATTGACAAAAAAACGTCCTTGAATTTAAGTGATTTGAAAGGTGCATAGAGCTGCGTCAAGAAAAATCAATCGTTCGCATAGCGCCATCTGTAGTTTATCTTGCGTTGTGTATGAGAGGAAAGATTCCGTGTTCCAAAATCACACCAGAACTGAGAGGCTTCTCTGCGGTGAAGCTGGTCCTCACGGCAGGAATGAACTTGTACCCAATTCATTTGTGAATGAATAATGAAGATTTTGGAAACACCATGCGTCGTTTGGGTAATGAAGAAACGTTCACATTCCGACGCTAGGAGGATATAAGTGAATAAACGATTACGGGTGAGCAAATTTTCAATGGAAAATCGAAAGAAATAATCTCAACAATGTAAATACAACATGTGTTTATGCGCTTAAAACCACCAGCGTTGATGAGGCGAGTTTTCATCTTTTTTGTCAGGTAAGTATTTACGCCTTTTCCCATTAAGTTCCCCAAACGTATTCAAAATTTTTATTGAATATAAAAATGGAAGATAATAGATGAATATATAGTGCAGATATATATATATATATATATATATATATATATATATATACACACGTATATTGACAGACTTTATTAGTATTTGTATAGAGATGGGCTATTAGTGAAAGATAACATTAATGGACTGTCAAAGAATGATACACTGAACAAAGCAAATAATATATACAAATTAGATGTGTACCAATCGTTTTCTATTATTATTTCTTATTCATCCTGTACAAATTAAAAATTACAGGCAAGTTTGTGTCGTAAGAAAACCATCAGTTGCTTGATAGTAATTAACCTCACAAAAGGGCCCATTTATCCTCAAAATAACTCCGCAATCAGCAAGCATAATGATAGCAGGGTGTCAGTTGTAATGACTTCTTGTTTTCTTCCTGTTTCTTGTTTGTTTTTGGAGTCTTAAGCTGGTGTGCTTTTCCTCCTCCTGATGTTCAGCTTCCTCTGGGAGGGTCATGCTGTGGCCAGCTGCCTTTCTCTCACTTTCATGCTTCTTCTGCACATCTTGGATGTGTGCATGTCAGAGTCCAACCATGCAGAATGCCCAGAGAGCTGCTTCTGCTCAGAGAGTGTCGACGGTGGGCTGATGGTCCGTTGTAGAGACATGAACTTAATTGCGGTGCCACATGGCCTTCCGAACAACACACGACATCTATACCTAGACAACAACCTGCTTTTTACCATACCATCTGATTCATTTATAGGGCTCCCACTGCTGTTCAAACTAGATCTTTCCCACAACAGGTTGGTCCATCTGGAGCCTGGAGCCTTTCGAGGCCAAGCGGACTCATTAAGCAGCCTGGACCTTTCTTTTAACCTGCTGGAGACACTGGACCCCGAGGCGTTTGGCGACCTCAGAGCCCAGACTAACCTCTCTCATAACCCCTGGCTGTGTGACTGCCGTCTGCAGCTGGCTATGCCACAGCTGCTCTTAGATCCCTCCTCCCTCGCTGAGGTGGTGTGCAACACTTCTGAACCTGAGGAGTTGGGAGCTCAAGGTATGCCCTTCATCCTGGTAGCGACTGATCTTGACTTCTGCGCAGCACTCCGGAGGACCACTGACTTTGCTATGCTAATAACAATGTTTGGCTGGTTTACAATGGTTATATCCTATTTAGTGTACTATGTAAGGCACAACCAAGAAGATGCTATTCGGCATCTAGAGTATCTCAAGTCTCTCCCAAACAGGCAGGGCAGATCTGGGGAGTCACTGACACGCAGCACCTGGTTGTAACGTAAATAAGAAAAAATACTGAATCTACTTTAAAACTTTTTTTTGGAGTGATAAGATGAAAATGAAAGATTCTTACATTGTGCTCATTAAAGGGACAGTTCACCCAAAAATTTAAATTCTGTCATTCATTACTCACCCTCATGTTGTTACAAATCCGTAAGACCTTCGTTCATCTTCAGAACACAAATTAAGATATATTTGATGAAATCCGAGAGCTTTCTGACCCTCCCATAGACAGCAAAGCAACTGACACCTTCAAGGCCCAAAAAGGTAGTAAGGACATCATTAAAATAGTCCATGTGACATCAGTGATTCATTCTTAATTTTATGATTTTATTTATCCCTTTAATGTACAATGTTTCAAATATGCTATTTGAATGCTTGGATTTGTCAGTTGATTGTTTTATGCTGTTTTAGTAAATCACTTTTATATGTGTCTTTAATAAGTTTGAAATATGCATAAACAAATAGTTAAAGAACCAATTTTTTTTTTGCTTGGTTTTTAGTTTATATTTGTTGGCTTTGAGTCATCTGTAAGTTCTTAATGTGGACAAATTTTATTTTGAGCAGATATAAACCTTTATGTTCTCTTCTATAAAAACACCAAAATATTCAAGACTGATCCTGCACTACACAGATATCATAAACTCTCAAGAATGAAAATGTCCCTCCCACAAATACAGCGTGCCATTGACAAGCAGTATCAGCTAGCAAATCATAGTTCATGGCTTCATGTTAAAAAGGGAAGATCTCTTTGATGTCCTGACAACCATAAAAAAGAAAAGAGTAAATAGTAAAAAAAAAAAAAAGTCTTTAATGGCATGGTGCAATATGCATTGAAAACAACTGAGAATGTTTGTTCATTCTTGATATGTTGATACTTTGGTAACCATTTCTTTAGGACAAAGGACCAACTGAAAAAGAGGTATAGTCATGTTAATTTTTATATGAGTGAAAAAGCTTTTCTTAAAGGCTTCCTTGGGTTCAAGAATGTGCCTTTCAAAATAGGAAACACATGTACATATATTAGATGCTGAGAGGTTTTTTGCAGGGTTTTGTTTCTCTTGCACAACTTAGACTTCAATAACCCTGCATGAGATTATGTGTATCGTACTGTATCCAATTGAAATAAAGATAAATACTGATCTGGGCTTGGGTTCAGTACTTCTAAGAAGAGCAGGGAGAGTTGGATTCAGATTACATTCAATAACTACAGTATCTCACAGAAGTGAGTACACCCCTCACATTTTTGGAAAAAGATATAATAAAATATTTACAAAAATGTGAGGGGTGTACTCACTTCTGTGAGATACTGTACATCACATTTGCAATCAGGACTCTAACTCTCTAACAAAGCCGGAGGAAGTGTTTCTCTGTGTTCCCCTGAGAGGAAGCCCTGAGACTTTTGGAGGCGCAGATATCTGTTGGAGGGCACCACTTGACTGAGCTTGAGCACTTCAGATGTCAGAAACATTTTTTTGTGACTGTTGTTTAGGCCTGTTAGGCAGGACAGGCACCAACACCTGCTGTCAATGTGTGACTTCTGCCATTAATATTATTGATTGAATATGTCAGTCAAGGTCTTTATGATATTTAGGCCCTGTAGCTTAAAGGATTAGTTCAATCCTGAATTAAAATTTCCTGATAATTTACTCACCCCCATGCCATTCATGTCATTCTTTCTTTAGTTTAGAAATGAAGGTTTTTGAGGAAAACATTCTAGGATTTTTCTCCATATAATGGACTTCAATAGTGGCCAATGGGTTGAAGGTCCAAATTGCAGTTTCAATGCAGCTTTAAAGGGCTCTACACGATCCCAGCGTAAGGGAATAATGGTCTTATCTAGCGAAACGATTGGTCATTTCTAAAAAAAATTAAAATGTATATACTTTTTTACCACAAATGCTCGTCTTGCACTAGCTCTGTGATGCGCATGCACATCTTCACACATTACGTAATCACATTAGAAAGGTCACGCATGTTAGTTCTTCGTCTGTGCACTCAGGTTCAAAAAGGTAGGGTAGGACAAAAAACTATTTTTCTTCACAATCGTCCGATATCGTTGTTTTACCTTTTTTTGTAAAGGGTGTTTGATTTTCTTTGCACGTTTACTTTGTAAACACTGGGTCGGTACTTCCGCGTGACCTTTCCAACGTGATTACGTAAAGCTTGAAGTCGTGGACGCACATCGCAGAGCTAGTGCAAGATGAGCATTTGTGGTTAAAGTATATAAATTATAATTTATTTTAGAAAATTACCAATCGTTTCACTAGATAAGACCCTTATTAATCAGCTGGGTTCGTGTAGAGCCTTTTGAAGCTGCATTGAAACTGCAATTTGGACCTTCAACCCATTGGCCACCATTGAAGTCCATTATATCCTGGAATGTTTTCCTCAAAAACCTTAATTTCTTTTCGACTGAAGAAAGAAAGACATGAATATCTTGGTTGACATGGGGGTGAGTAAATTATCAGGAAATTTTAACTCTGGAGTGAACTAATCCTTGAACTCTTTGCATACTCAAGTCAAGATGTTTATTATTGGTCCAGGGAAATACCAGGTTTTGAATGTCCCCCATCTCTCTGACTGACTGATTCAGCTGCTCCAGTGAGTCATAAAAAATCTGTTATTTTATTGAGGTAAACTATATGAGGTGTCCAGCATTGTGATTTTCTTTGCTTATGTGACTGAACTGCTGTATTAAATTTTTCTGTATTAAACTGTCTTTTAGGAAGTACTTTTTTTAATTTTTTTAGATCAACATTTTCCTGATAATGATTTTTTAACATCTGAAACCTGCTGTGCTCAGTATGTTACATTGGTATGTAGCAGAAAAGATGCCCTTTTTGACAATTTGTTGCTTATGCCTTTTCATTTTTAAACTGTGACATGTTGGCATATTAGCTTGTTTTTCTTTCTTTTTCTTTTTCATATCTGACAAATATGTTTAGACACGTAAAGCTTAGAATTCTTCCCACTATTAAAACTAATTAAAACTTCCCACTAATAAAACTGTAAAAATGAAATCTAAAATTAGTTACTTGTTCATTTTTATTTATTTATTTATTTATTTTTAGGCATGCAAAAATAAGTGCTATTTAATCGAATCATACCTTGACTACTGAACACTGGGTTAGGGCCTTACATGTACACATAACAGCATCCCCTAAAACAACTGAAACACCACATGAAAAAGATTGGTTACAAGCTGTCTCCAGGAACAGGTTTGAGAACCACTGCATTACAGAAATTGAGTCAAACAAACCAAATGGTCGAGGAAGCCAAAAACATTAACCTTAACCATAAAAAGGTCAAGGCCAAAAAGAAACATCAGGAAATTAATTTATTGCAATGTTGCACATTTTACACATTTTTAAAACATTTTCTCTCGTAACATAAACATTCATTGTAACATTCTGTTAAACAGTATGTATTATGTCTATTTATAAATATATTAGCCTACTGTACACAAATAGACAAATGAGATTCCTAGGGCCTATACATTATCAACATAACCAAAATTAGCTGACAATCTACTTTATGCCTTTTGACCTCTAATGGATAGTTCATGCATTTTTATCAAGTAAAGTCTTTTAGCTGAAATCTAATGAAAAAATTATTTTTATAAAGTAAATGTAAGAATAACTTTTATATTGTTAGTAATTCAAGATGAACACTTACTGGACTCAAGCACTCCATTTTTAATTTTTAATGTTCTAAATTATTATTATTATTATGTTAAAATTTAAATGTCAAATATGACAACAGGCTTTTTAAGGTTTATTTGTCTTATCTCTCTGGTTGGCCATTTTTTATTATTTTGAGGTATTATTTTAAGTAGTGAACTGATCTTCTAAAACAGGCAACAAAGTCTATAAAGAAAAATCTTAATAACAAAAGCGTACAGAAGATCTGAAACGCAAACGATGCGACCTGATTTAGAGAATATGGATGTTTCATTTTAAAAACATTCATTCTATAAACATCCATTCTTTCTAGTCAAGTTTCGTATGAAAGTTTCCACTCACAGCAGATGCTAACGTCTCTAAGACCGGAAACCTAAAAGCGAAAGTAAACGGGAGGACATGCATTGATGAAATTCCTCCGCTATATTATGCAGTGAGCCAATTAATTTGAAAAAATACTAAAATTATTCTAAATACTCAAATTTAAAATTAATACTAAAATTTCATTTTAAAACTAAGAACTAAAACTGAAAAGAAATTTGGGGCAACATCAGCTGGGTGAAAGGCTCTTTTGGAGATCTGTACAGTGTTCTGCGAACTTCAAACAAGAGTGTAAGTGAAAATCTATACAATGTGTGTTACAAACATTTAACAAAACTAAGTTAGAGTCTTATTCTTACATTATTCTTATATTTTCTTGATCGAGTAGGCTGTGCCATCGACATACATTCTGTCTGCTTACAGCAAAAAATACAAACCATACACCTAAGTGGAATATTCATTTAAGTTCAACTTTATTTTCACAAATTCTTGCAGAGTGAAATCCCTTTAAAGCTTATTCCATGTGCAGTCCACTTACACATAATAGCCTTTTGCACATATTTCACACATTTTTCACAATGTAGCTACACAAATGCTAATTAGACACATACATTATATGAACTGCAACACTAAACAGCTACTGAGTGTGTCACAATCATGTTAATGTAAAACACTGCGTTTCGAAAAAACAGCGTTCTTTACTCAGACTACCATCCATCGTTTTGATTTTCTTGATGTTTTCTTGAACACTTTCCTGAAAGGTTCCATGGATGTTATGTTCTTCATGGAAATATAGATGCTAATTGTCACAAATCAGGCCTCTGTGACTCTCTCCGACCGCCTCCGGAGGGCACCCTCTCCTGAGTACTAGCGTTCTTGGACTTCATTTCCCATACACCCCGTACCTGGGACCGATTACTGGCACAGGTGTTTCCCCTTAGCTTCCCCATTTAAGCAGCTTCCAGACTCTTAGTTTTCGCGAAGTCTTGTTTT